CATGGACTTCACCTTCAGTACACCGTCTCTGCCTTAACGACATGTTCAGGATACACTCTGATCTACGGTATGGACCTTCCCCTTCAGTACACAGTCTCTGCCCTAACGAGTTCAGGATAAACTCTGATCTACGGTATGGACTTCCCCTTCAGTACACAGTCTCTGCCTTAACGACATGTTCAGGATACACTCTGCTCTACGGTATGGACCTTCACCTTCAGTACACAGTCTCTGCCCTAACGACATGATCAGGATACACTCTGATCTACGGTATGGACCTTCACCTTCAGTACACCGTCTTTGCCCTAACGACATGATCAGGATACACTCTGATCTACGGTATTGACTTTCCCCTTCAGTACACAGTCTCTGCCCTAACGACATGTTCAGGATACACTCTGATCTACGATATGGACCTTCACCTTCAGTACACAGTCTCTGCCTTAACGACATGTTCAGGATACACTCTGATCTACGGTATGGACCTTCACCTTCAGTACACAGTCTCTGCCCTTACGACATGTTCAGGATATTCGACCACATGCAGTTTGACACTTAGATGCATGGTATAACCTATCAGTGCAGGCACTGCCGTTTTAAACGGCTATCAAATATATCTAAAAAATATCTTGAACGGTAGCACAAGCCTGTCGCTAGAAAATCGATTAGGTTAATTAATATAACACAACATTGATATAGCTTTGCATATCAATCATCGGCAACCTGTATACATAACCAGACCCCATTTTGTTTTAAAAACTTTAAAAACTTAGCAAAATCAATAAAAATATAATTATGATATTACAATTGGATGATTGTTAATATCCGTAGAATATGTTCGGAATCGTGAAACTGTCGATTACACATTTTTACTAGTTCATCACAAAATTGTAGGTCTCAGCCTGATAATTTCGACCCGATTCACGTGTTGTGCCGTAAATTGAGAAGGTGAAGGTGAAACTACTCATCGGACAGGTAACTTGCGATAAAACGTCCCTTTACCACAGTAATAATGAACCAGTTTTGACGCTCTCAGCGAAAACATCATAAAATGGAATACATTGTACATTAAATTGTAAACAATATGAGACCAACGTATGACGTATTTATTTTTATTTTTGATGTAGAGTTTACCTCTGCCCTGAATCTCGTTCAGAGCCGTTGTCCGTTTAACAGTTGACGTGTAACACCGATTACAGCCCCTACATCAGCGTCGGAGCTGAACAGGTGGTATACTACTAGCACCTGTAAATATTGCCAGTTGAATGACTAGTAAACAACCAAGGAAATGTTATCTCTCACAGATTCAATATACTCAAGGCATTGAATGTTATACTTGTGTGTGCTGGGGCTTCAACGGGAGAATTCAGTCACAATATATGACTTTTTCTTATAACTAAATGTCTTAAATTTGAAATTTTAATAATGGGTATATATCGAAACCTTATTAATTTTACTTATACATTGTCTTAACATGATCAAAAGGTGGGAAAGCTGGCGTTAATGTATAGAGGAAATTAAGGAACTGAACACTCGAATGAAATGATGCCTGGGCATCCCTGTAGATCCGGCCCCCGTTCGCCTCACCTACGATGTAACTGAACCCGAGGTATGCTGCAAGTGATTAAAGGTGGAGATATTTCTCGATAACTGTTCGTAAACCCATGAAAATACCAATACATTAGTATTTAATATGAAACCACTTCGACCCAGTAACCTCGTTACAGCGCCAATATAATATGGCAAAGAGATATCGTGACCGATTACATTTAGCTATTTATCACTTACTCAAATATTATCCAATGTTTGGCTTTAGTTGACTTTAGATTCCAATCAAAAGTTATACAATATTTCGCTGTGTACATTAGAGCTTACCATGCGAATATAAAGCATTATCTTAACCGTTGACGCCAATATCGGCCTCCTTGTCGCATTACTGAGCTTAATAATGCTTTCGGTACATACTGCTTCTAAAGAGGTTTGTCAAACGAGGTCTATAAACGGCAAACAGCCATGAAAATATCCCAAACTGACGTCTTTAATTGTTTTGTATACAATACAGTTATATAAGACGATAGAGGAGACACGTGTAGAGAGTCCATTCAAGCTGAAATATGTTTGTGTTTGCCATTAGAATCAATTAGGCCATTCCACGTTAGTACTGGGTTTGATCTCTGATGAGACTACTGGTCCCTGTCACGGAAGCAAAGTTCTAACGTATGATTCACATACCAGCTTGAACGCTTATGTGACATTTTTGGTAAAAAAAACAACAACACATGTACGTCGAATTACATCGAACCTCTTCACTGTTCAAATTGATGTAGGAGTAAAGATGTTATTCGAATAACATCAAACCCATTCACTTTTCCAATTAATGTAGAAGTACACATTTAAGTTGAATTACATCGAACCCCTTCACAACTACAATTAATGGGGAAGTACAGTTGTAAGTTAAAGTTCATCGAACCCCTTCACTGCTCCAAATAATGTCAAAGTAAAGATGTACGTCGAAATAAATCAAACCCCACCACCGCTCCAATTAATGTAGAAGTAAGGATGTACGTCGAAATAAATCAAACCCCACCACCGCTCCAATCAATGTAGAAGTAAAGATATAAGTCGAATAACATCGAACCCCTTCACTGTTCAATTCATGTAGGAGTAAAGATGTTTTCGAGTAACATCAAACCAATTCACTTTTCCAATTAATGTTGAAGTACACATTTAAGTCGAATTACATCGAACCCCTTCACTGCTCCAATTAATGTCGAAGTAAAAGATGTACGTCGAATTAAATCAAACCCCTTTACTTCTCCGATTAATATAGAAGTAAAGATGTACGTCGAAATAAATCAAACCCCTTCTCCGATTAATATAGAGGTAAGTCGGATTACATCGAAACTCGTCACTGCTCCAATTAATGTAGAAGTAAAGTTGTAAGTAGAATAACATCGAACCCCGTCACTGCTCCAATTAATGGAGAAGTAAAGACGTAAGTCGAATTACATCGAACCCTTCACTGCTCCAATTCATGTAAAAGTGAAGATGTAAGTCGAATAACATCGAACCCCTTTACTGCTCCGACGAATGTAGAAGTAAAGATATAAATCAAATTATATCGAACCCCATCACTGCTCCAATTAATGTAAGAGTAAAGCTCTCAAAATTACATCGAACCCCTTCACTGCTCCAATTCATGTAGAAGTAAGGATGTAAGTCGAATAACATCGAACCCATTCACTGCTCCAATTAAAATAAGAGTAAAGATGTAACGCGAATAACATCAAACCCCTTTACTGCTCCGATGAATGTAGAAGTAAAGATGTAAGTCGAATTACAACAAACCCCGTCACTGCTCCAATTAATGTAGAAGTAAAGATGTAAGTATCGACTAGCAATATGGTGTTACACTCACAGCTGATGCTATTCTCGCAATTCTGTGGTCACCAGAACAATCACTGGTTGGAGAGGCTTGCAGTTCATCGTCTCATACAATATTTTTTATTATATATATATCAGTATACCAATCAAATATCGACCTCCCTTTTAAATCTGTAAAAATGGAAAATATGTCGTCATGGATTCACTTCAAACGGAGATAGTATTGGATCTTTGTACCTTAACGCCGGAATAGATTTGATCTTTGAAGTATTATAAACGTGAGAAAATCTATTTTTTAGAAACTGTTTTGATCAATAATTTTCAAATTGGAAAGCAATTGGGACCATGTTTTAATGAGCATTATTAAATTAACCAAAACGAAAACTTTTGGTCGCTTACACAATCCCAAGCCAATTAACGACATAAATCACTTGAAGATAAAAAAAAAACAAAACCGGCTTTCTCTACTGGAACGTATTCATACCTTTCAAATGAATTTATATTATTACAATTTTCCGAAAAATAAAATGAAATGTAAGCAGGATAAGTAATTTCGACATGTGTGATTTCACTTTGATATGACGGTTATAATTGATTAGCGTCATCACAACATTTAACAGATCCTACGAAAATTGCTGTCGATAATGAAGCCATTAACATAGAAGGAGATACGAGCGCAGTTAATTGACCGTACCCAATACAAACCTGAACAAAACTAAACTTTAGCAGACCTTTAATATTCACAGACAATTAAACATGCACGAGTTATGTTAAAAACAGCAAATATGTTTGAACGCCATCAAGAAACTGGAGGAATGTCTTCAAAAACATTTATCAAAGGGTATTTTACAACACGAATTGTATAAATGTTCAACAACAAGACATTATCTAGCGGTGTGTGACGTTTGTTTTACTTAGGACCTAAATGTTCTTACACAGCGCCAACGTAATCGTCGAACTTAAGAGTTATGTTCCATCTACATGTGTATCTAACCCTTATTGCATTCTTTTGATCTTTTAAACACCAATATCTGAAAATAAAACTTATTCGTGGAGTTTCTAAATTGTTGCGGAATGGAGTTAAAAGGCATCAATTGTAAAGAGCAATCACATCAAAAGTGATTATATTTTACGACAGAATAACCACACGTTGAAAGATTTAACCACGTTAACAGGTAAAGTACATTTGTAAAGCGAACTGTAGCAAAAAGTAAAATCATCTCCAACAAAACGCTTAAATATATATGTATCGACCCATTGAGAGACTAGGGTGTTAAGAATTAAGTTCTGTGTTATATAAGAAGGCCAAGTGCAAGTTCATGAAAAATTGAGGGGCCTACAGTTTGCACGTTGTATCCAATTTAGTTTGATAAATAGCTAGAACTCGTCCTGTTGGTCTACCTTGTAAGAGTCTAATTATGTTCAAGCTACGTTAATTAGTTATGTTTGCAAAAGATATACACTTTTACCGTTTCAAATAATTAGTCGCAAACTTAAGAATGCTTAAAACTAAATTGATAGATGTATCATTTTCAGAATGATTAAAACTAAATTGATAGATGTAACATTTTCAGAATGATTAAAACTAAATTGATAGATGTATCATTTTCAGAATGATCAAAACGAAATTGGTAGATGTATTATTTACAGAATGATTAAAAGTAAATTGATAGATGTATCATTTTCAGATAGGTTTTCCATTAAACGTCTTGGCCTATTGTGCTTCCTGTATTGTTCCTATTTAAATAAATTACCGTACTCAATCGTACTCTGTTATATAGTTATAACTTCAAATTTCTCTCAGACATTTTCTTTACTTCCTTATTCCATACGAGGTGTAAATCATCCTCCATAAGTTGTTTTTTTTTGCTCTTTTTCAGCTACAAACACGTTCCGGAAACTCATATGATAACTATGGTATAGGCAGTTTGACATAAGCAAATGAAAAGGAGTAAAACTAACTTGTCAGTTATCAATATTACAACAAACACAATGACTTATTTATGATTTTTTTTTTACTAAAAAAGTCAAAATAATTTACAACAAACATGTTTAAAAAAGAACAACAGAGTAAAAAACCTATTGCTGTTTGAACGCAAGTTAAGAAGACACAGTCAGCAGATAACCCGATAGGCGGACACGTGTATCACTCAGTGGTACATCTAGGATGACATATTTACATCGCTTTAACATGATATTATAAATTAACAGAGTCGAGTAACAAGTAATGAGAGCAACAGATAAGTTAACAGGCGTTTTGATTCACATTTGTCATATATACAGTCTATGTATCAATACTAAGCAATGTACACTGGCCAGGTTACAAATATAAGGGCATCAGGCTGTCCAATGTTCGTGATCAACTCAATGAGTCACAAAGGTGGTATCACACAGAGTACAGGATCCTCACTTCTAAAATCACACAAGGGTCAGAAAAGGATCTAGATACACCAGAAACATTTTTACACGGTACAATTTCTATCACAAGGAAGCGTTTGTTTAAAAAAAAACCCAGAGATTTTACACATATGGTAATTCTTTTGAGAGGAACTAGTATTTAAAGGGATATACGGGATTTGTTTCGTACACATAATGAAATGTATACAATAATTACACCGTGAAAAACACTTCGTTCGATGTACTGTAGCCCTGCATATAAATATAAAAGAAACATGAATCATGAAATATATATCTATAAATAGAACACATAAGATTTGCTCACATTAAAAAAACTACGTGAACTTTGGAGTAGCAAGTAGCACGAAAAGAAAGTTTGCAAAAGAAGTTGCAGTTGTGACCTACAAAATGTGCTGGCCTCATAAACAAACATCACAATAAAATACAATATACAAATACGCTATCCAAAACACCGTGAACGTAAATACGTGGTGACCATGTTGACATAAAATGGTACAGGTCATGTGTCCGTATAAAACTGAAGACGGAAACAAAACATCAGTCAACAACGTGAATGTGGAAGTAAACTGTGATAGGTGCAAACATAACTCTGGACATCACCGTTTCCTCACCAGTTGTTCTTAATTTACATTAACATGTGTGAAACTGTTTTTGTTTTTAGTTATCCAAATGTTTGAAATTGCTTGTTTACATCACTATCAAACACATGTGGAACTGTTTATTTTACATTATTACCTCCATTACCTTCAAATATAATCAGCAAGAGATTTGTTCTGTCTTACTGAAGTCAAATGTGTCGCCTCGATCCCACTGCTTTACCGGGAAAACACACGTTTGATAAGTAATATGAGTTCATGTACCCTGCGTAACCACAAACATTATGTTTCATATGGAAAAGACAGAAAGTAAGAGCAAATATACACAATTCATTCGAGATTTACGTGAATGAGGGAACTAATATACACAAAATGCATTAAAAATGTCTGTAACAGCGAGAATGAAACACACATAATGCATTGAGGTTCACGCTATTCATAGCACTATTTTATGAGACATACCCTCCTATTGTAAACAAACTGATGCTATGATAATATCGATGAAAAATGAAAATGACAAAGTATATGAAAAATAGTTTGTGTCGCAAGTAATAAACCTGAATGATTATCAGAATCCTTCATTAGAAAATGAAATGTGTTTTTTTTCTAAAACTGTTTGCTAAACTTGGATTGTTTTCATATTTGTTTCTAGATTTACACACCGTAGTCAGCTTGTTTCTCTGCATCTGTCGACTGTAGCAAAGACTTGGCAAAAATGCTTATCTTATATGTAGGGATGCTTGTGATAAAATTACCTAAAAAGAGCGGCCAGCAATTGCAAGGCAACAGCATATTTCAATCGTGTAAATTCAAATTGAGGACAACCCTACGTAACACATGCCTTCCAGGTAACCAGGCTTTGCATATTCATTGTATAAACAAAACTGGATATTTATTTTTTGAAAGGGCAGTGCTTTCTATCTAAACAACTCTAACCACTAACCACCTGCTTCGTGTCAGTAATCCTCTCTATAAGGTTCGGGAGAGATAAAGGTAAGATGAACGTGAAATGTTGCTTAGAAGACGAATGGAGATGATTGCATTATAGAGAAAAGGTTATATGCTAATGGTTTTCTGGTTGCCGTATTTTTGCAAGGAGGGCAGCAGAGCTAGGAAGCTGCAAAGACCCTAAACATTGTTTCGGCCTCCCAATGCTTATGTCCTTGGAACACACAGAGTCGAACTCGTGTATGACGTCACTGATCCAGTCAGAAATTGTCCAGACCGGTATGAACAGAGATTCAGATGCTTTCGAAACATAGTCCCAAGTTCCAAATCCAAGTCCTGCAAGGTTCAGATCTCCAGAATATCCAAGAAATAAAGGTGATCCTGACAGCAACATGTACTCACTCGCCCTTTTCTTCGATCCCTTAACTTTCACGCACAAATAACTTGGATATTTACAGATAGATTGTATTTTTCCGTGACGGGGCTTTAGTTTGCTTCTTCCTGTGCCAATTCTCGTCGATAACGTGATTTTAGGATATATTTGCGTGATCATGTTAAATTGTTTCTCAGTCATGAGACATGGTGACTCCTTACTGACTTTAGACTTCCGTGTGTTGTCCAACCGTAATAGGGCCACGTTGTATTGTCGCCATGACGTCAGAGGATGACGTATTGCACTTGCTACAGTGCGCATTGATTTGCTACGGCCTACTCTCACCTTGACCCCAGTCATGGTAGAAATCTGAGCGTCGTCTGTCACAACGTCCCCGGAAACCAGAGCCCAGTTTTCGTTAAGGAGAACACCGTTTCCAAGCACGTTGTTTCGTAAATTATCCATCAGTGTCACGTGACGTTTCAAAATAGTTTTCTCTCCCAACCTACAACGAGATTAAAACAATGTATATCAGACATGAAAACTTGTTTGTTGTATGAACATGTTACTTGCACAACCATTTTATTTCAGAAAAAAATAATTCAACTCATGATATACAGATCATAATGCTTTCATTGAAATTACATATCAATATGTATAGCTTATTATAATGTATGATTAGTTTAATAAGTTTTACAGGATAAGACTATATAACTTATATGAATGGACTTAACATTGATTGCCCTATTTTAGAAAAAAACACCTACATGTGTATATATAATCGAAATCAATTTAATACGGACATAGGTTTGCTCTATCCCAGTGCCGCAGTGCGTGTATTACATGCATCTGCTACTATAAAGGAATGCCTGTCATACGAAATGAGGAAGCAGGTTTTTATGTCGCTGCAGTCAAAAAACAAAATAAACACTCTTACTGCATTCCGATTCATTTACAACGTTTGGCTACAACAAGTATTTGATTCGTAAACTACCATTACCTATTAAAGTAGCCAGACTACACTAAAAAAAATCACTTGATTAGTTGTTTTGGTGGTTGCATTTCCTAGCTGTTGCTGATCTGATCGTGTTTAAACTGTCAGAGTGTCAACGTGATACAAGCACGGGTATATTTCTGATACACATACGTAATTTAGATTGGACAAATTATTTCCTTAATGGTCACATTATGTGATTAGAGTTACCCTTCTGCATCTACGGGTCAATTCAACACAGAGTTGATACATATCTGTATACAAGGCTACCATTTAGATCCAGCAAACAGAGGGTAATACATTTACAGAACCTACTGCACAAATAAATACAGCACGAGAGCAATATTAAGGCAGTTATCCGCTTCTCAGACGTCGGACGCGCTAACGACTAAGTTCGTACGACCTTTCGACAGAACGGTCGAGACCCCCGTATGAATCAATTACATGATATTGTAACTCACGTGTGATAACAACTAAACTACCTTCCAAGCTAACTACGCTCAATACAAACGGACAGTGGACGTTGTCAGTGGCACAGTTCTCACGACAAGGGCTTCACATATTAAAAAATCTACATTTGTCATTTCGTAAATAATTTTCATACGTAAATATCAGCGATAACCGGAGTAATGAACTTGTTACAATTAGTGTAAAGTATGATGATTACTCATACAAACGACCCAGCATGATAGGACCGATACCGAAGTACACCGGCCGGCGGTAGGATAAACCATCATACACTTATAATGCAATGTTATTCAAAATAACTTTTTAAAATTAACTTTATCTATTACGCTCCAAATTTCCTGTATAGGTGCCAGGCAGGGTAGCCACAATAATTATTGATTTTTCAGTTAAAAGATAAGTGTTACCCCTATTAAGTGTTACTCCAAATTTAGCGACTTGCCCCTCATTTTGATGGTGACTATGACTTACTGAATAACCAGAACTGGGATAAATCGTACGCGAATTTCACAAATGCTTAAATGTTGATCTTTATGGATGGTGGTGTGTCGGGCTAGGAGGGGGCAGCATGATGTACAAACCTGTTGTTAAAGAGTGACCTCATCCGAAAGTGACTGTCGTCACACATGAGAGAACCGTGGTCACCCTGGATATCTTGGACGTCACACGTTAGGTCATCGGGGTCGAGTTCCCGAATCTGGAAAGTAAAATTTGGTTTCATTACAATTTGCGTACATGTAACGTAATGTTCTACTGAAATAATCAGGTTAAGTGCCTAATAAAAAAAAACGAATAGGAATACCGTTCAACCTTTTCAGAAAGGCAGCTGTATGGTAGAGATTCTACCAAACACCATTAACTGTAAATGTATGGATTAATAAAGTCCGTTATTATCTTCTAAACTCATAAGACCATCGTTAATACCCCTTAGATGACACCAAACAATTAATGTTAACTTTTTACACAACGTTGCGTACCACAGATTATCAATGGTCCTTTATTTACAGCCTTATCCACATTTTCCCTTAACAAATAAATGAATCAATGACGCGATCAGATTTACCTATACGCAAGTCAAGGTTTAAATTTATCAAATTGATAAGGCAGCCTTACCCTGAGTCCGTGGAGACGATTGGGAAGTTTACAGATGAGATCGTTCTCCATGTCCAATCTGATTTTTCTGGTGACGACTGGGTCTACCATCCACTTCATGTTACAGTCACACAGTAGCGGATTTCCGGTAAGACCCAAGATGGAGGACGACGCTAGGATCTTGGTGACGTCCTGTGTGACGGTGTTGATCTTGTTATCGGTGAGGATGAGGTCTCGGAGTCGGAGCTGGATGTTTCCCGACGTGTCTATCCAGAACAGGTGGTTACTGCTCATATCAACGATCGATAGCTTCGCTAAGTTAGTTATGTAGGAGAAATTGAAGCCCATTAAACGATTGTCCTTCAAGTTGAGTTCTATCAAATTTTGCATGTAACGGAAGGCGAGAGGAGAAATCGACGTTATGCTGTTCAATGACAGGTCGAGTTCTTCTAGTTCACTCATACCAGAAAGCATGGAATCAGACACCCGTCTCAGTTTGTTTTGAGACAAATTCAAATCCGTCACTTTTTGAAGGTTTTTGAAAACGCCATTGTTGAGATTCTTTATCTTATTATTACACAGGTCCAAAGTACGTAGGTTCCAGAAGTTGGACAGACCCATGCTGTGAATACGCTTGATTTTGTTGTGACCTAGATGTAATGATTTTAGTTGTGGAATCGACCTCAATGCTTCTGCGGAGATTTCCTTAATGGCATTGTTTTGTAAGCTAAGAGCCGTAAGTTTAGACTGTGATGAAGAAGGGGTGGTCTTGAAGGCGTCCATACCGATGGTTTTGATGAAGTTGTTGTCGAAAGAGATTTCTTTGAGTTCTGAAAGTCCGTACAGAACTCTTGGAGGGAGTTCCATTATTTTGTTATGTGACATGTCCAAATACTGTAGAAGCATGAGAGACCGGAGGACACCAGTGCTGATTTCCGTGATACGATTTCGTGATATATCAAGTCTTGTTAATCTCCTCAGGAAAGTAAAGGTTCCGTTGTCTATTTCGACTATATTATTGGATGATAAATATAGCTCCTCGAGAGACTCTAGGTCAATAAGGCCTTCTTTTCTGATATGTTCGATGTCATTGGTTGCTAAATCGAGAATTCTTAGGTCTCTCAGGTTTCTGAAAGCACTATCTTGAATTTCAGTGATGTGATTTGCAGACAACAAGAGTTCCTCGAGGTTGAAAAGGTTAACAAACGAGTGGGACTCTATCCCTGTGATAGCGTTTCCTCTCAATGAAAGACTTCTTAACACCACGAGCTTTTCAAACCAGCGCGCGCGCACAGTCCAGATCCTGTTACCATTCAGAAGGAGTTCTTCAAGGGCTGTGTTGGCATCAAACACTTCATCGTAAAAGTCAGTGAAGTTGTTCCTAGATAAATCCAAAACGGCGACGTTCGTTAGAGGACTAAAAATATCACGTGGTAGACGCCTAAGTTTGTTGCCATTTAGACGGAGTTTTTTGAGGTTACCAAGCGGACGGAATATAGCTTGTGGGAGGTACCTGATCATGTTATCAGACATGCTAAGCTCCGACAGGTACGTCATTCCGCTGAAGGCAGCGGCAGAAAGGTGCCGGATGTTGTTGTTAGGCAGGGACAGCACACTCAGCGTCCTTAACGACGAGAATATGTTAGGGTACAATATCCCGATGTTGTTGCCACTGAGCGCCATATCCTGCATGCGCGCGTTTCCGCGGAAGGAGTCTCTGGTTATGTACCGAATCTGTGTGTCGGAAATGAGTGGGATACGGTCATTCTGGACACCGTCGCCGGCCGGAACAGCTGGACGTGCAACTTGACTGCTACTGTCACCATATATTGTCATTTTGGTCACATCTGGAAAATAGAAAGTAAATGTATTGGATCCATCTTAGGAATTTTCATTATTTTTACTGGTCGAACACATTTTGTTGTCGTTAATTAAAGTGTTTTAAATATGTGTGCACAACTAAAATAGAATAACATCTATATTCAGAAAGATGAAAACCAAAAGGTTTTCAATTTACCCCATTTACCATATTTGAACAATTGATAAAGCTTTAATAGGGCACTAATGAGAACTCCAACACTACACTCTTACATGTCAAACATCGTTAGATGTGTGTGTTAACAGAGCCTCGAGCCCCTGTATACGACACTGGGCCATCCCGTAGGTGTAGGATAGTTTTAATGCTGCAGTCTACGTAACGTTTATCAGCGGAAATCATAGCGTTCACCATCAGACGCACGAAATGTCATGTTAGCTCTACTTTTAGTTCCTTAGAAAAGAAACAAATGTTCTGAAAACATAACAAAACATCCCTTGGATAAGTTTTATAAGGTCGTCCGAGTTCGCAAACTCCCACTTCTTTTTTAAACGCGTTTTTACTGGAGTTGCATGTTCGCCTGCTGTCAAGGGCAGTTAGTAGAGTTGTTTATCTCTTTGATAGACTGAGCGCATTTCTGACGGTATGCACAGCTATAAATCCGTTCAAGACTGGAGTTTTCGTTAAGTATTGTACCGTCATATCAGGTTAGCCGGCTCTGATGAGTGTTACGTCAGACACGGCACTCTCCTTACATCTTTATACAGACAGAACAGATCAAAGCAGCGTTGTCTGGTACGCTTGTATGAACAGACGTATCCATCTTTGCTACTGAAGTACGCGAGGTTGTAGGTTTTCTATGACATGTTAAATATTACTACTTCCTAACTTATGAGAGTGACAAAAGTCAATGTTAAACCGACGTAATATATGAAGCGTAATATAAAAGTTTGTGAATAAACACATCTAGGTAAATTTACGGAATGGATGTTATGCCAAACTCTCAACCCTTCTGGCATCGCAATGCAGTGTGGGGTGTAAGAGGCGACTGTTGTCGTCGCGGTATGGTGGGAACGAACGAAACAATGTAGCATAGAATAATTCAAGGACCATGTGATACACAGCGATCTGGACAGATGGTTACCAACAGCGATGTGATTTTCATAGTATATTTCACGACTATTTAGTGTTTTGGAGCAATTTCCTACAAACCTGACGACATATTCAAAGAACAGTTATGTAGATTAGAAACGTCTGATTTTGTCAAAATTTCGAACAACAACAGGGTTACAATCTTAGTCAATACACAGTAAATAGCCATGTTAGGGAAAATATAAACTAGTTGAGAATGGCCTTTCCAATAAACTTCACAACAAGCCTATTTCATCGGAAGTAATGATGCATTCTGTAAGGCAGACAGTAATTGATATAGATTTGGATAATTTCGAAAAATGTAACTAAACTGTCATTTAAATAAATGATAATTGCGTTCCAAGGTTTCGCTTAGGTCATACACTAATGTAGTGTTACTGTAGCTTAAAGCGCCAAGCACTTTATATAACTCGTGTCAACGATAAAATTCATGTTGGAATTTGAATAATTTAACTATAACACTATCCTATTTGTTTAAAACACTACATAATGCGCATTCACCGTGGATATCATAGTGAACAAAAACTTAATCACATCTGTCTCGATGTAGTCATTACAGATTACAGAAACACTCATATCAATCATTAGTTGTACACATAGTAAAAAGGGTAGTTTGTAATTCTGTATAACAGCTAGGCATGACCGGTATGTCACGAGGACCAATTCATCAGCAACAGTTATTGTAAAGATATGTTGGTTATACTCCTATTGTCGTTTGTTATGCGTTAATGAGGTACATGAAGCTCGTCGTTAGACAGGTGACACCATAGAGATCATCCATTAAACACTTAACGAGGTATGATTAGTGTATGCATCGGAAATTCTGAGATACTCTCTGCTCTGAAAACCCATCCTCTAAAACATTGAAAATATAACGGGAATATATTCGTTAGTCATTAGAAACCACTGTTACTGTTAGTGAAAGCAGTCGCGCTTTTTAATTCGATTGGACTATAGTAAACGGGAAATATGTTTTCAAAGTGAATTATAAGAAAATCTGGGTTATCGTGACCCCGATATACACAAGTTAACTTACAGGGAACAGACCACTTAACGAGCTAATCTTGCCCACTTCCCTTTGTTATACCTTTAAATGGCGTCGGCTACAAGCTTCGCTCTGATCTCACAATTGCTCTTAAGTGAAAGTAATAAGTCGAAAATACGAAAATTGGATAGTGAAAAATATCATAAACGATGGTTTATTTTAAGTATAAATGTGTATAACTTCATGGCAACCGTGACGAGCTTAGTCATATATTTAGGAACGTGAACGCTTTCTACCCACGTTTATCTCCTGTGATGGTAAGGAACAGTTGGCACGCTCTTTGAAATGGACATCAGAACGAAGCTATCTATCTGCTTTGAAATGAACATCGCCATGCTATAGTAACGTGCACCATTGGATATAAGAACGCGTGATTAAAACCGGCGTGAATGTCGTAATTCTGTGCTCAGCAAAATGTTTTCATCTAATTCTGAGAGGAGGCGAAATGATTGAGTATAATATGATATGATTAGATGTTAACACCTGCTCGTGCGAATAACATTCCAGAACTATCGGGGTCGCTTCTAACTTTATTTCGAGAAATCTTTAACAAAGAATGTGCACATTTGTTTTCTTTTGCAATCAAAATTTTGATGAACCTGAGTAGTTTCAGAATATAATATATATATATATATACGTCTATTAGTCAGATTAAGCTTATAAAACAATGCGCATTGTCATAATAGATTAGGGTTGGTCAAGTGTAAGGTGATTCATAAATCACCCTACTACTCATTCTTCTTTTATTTATAGTATATACTTGGTTCTCAAAATTGTAAGTCCTTTTAGAAATCATTAGTCATTTCCCTTGATCCAACCTGTTTTGTTGTATATTCCCATATCGTACTAAAAGGATCCTTCACACATTGGTACATTGATATACTTAGCCCACATATCAAAAATGTCTGACAGCTTTTGATAGGTACCGTTATTGCTATCTATCTCCGAACAGTCTTTGATGAACAAATCTGTTGTCCGAATCAAACTTAATGCTAAAAAAACAAAGAGATAGCGTGAAAGCCACAGCTTTTGTTTTTTATTTGTTGATTATGTTGTTGTCGTTGTTTTTGTTGTTGTTGCAGGTAAACGGTATTAAATATTGTAAACAGATTCAACAAGAAAAAGCTTACAGGACAAGGAATAATAAAAACCTAAAGTAATGTGTCGGTACAAATGACGAGCATGAGTGAGTAAAGTATATCTAAAAAGCATTATCATAGGGAGGTATGTGTGAATATACAAGTGTCGTAACGAAATATTACACAACAATACATGGAGTGAAAACAAACACGCATGACTCATATATTGTATTCCCTAACATCAGAACTGCTATATTCCTTGTCCTAATATTTACACACTTCCCTCCTCTACCTCCTCTCCTTCCTCTACACTCTCCCATCCTCTACAGCCTCCCCTTCCTTTCATCCTCCCCTTCCTCTACACTCTCCCCTTCCAATACAGCCTCCCCTCCTCTACAGCCTCCCATTTCTCTACATCCACCCCTTCCTCTTCATCCTCCCCTCTTCCATAACCCCTTGCTCTACCCCATTCTCTTCACCGTCCCCTTCCTCTACACCCACCCCTCCTCTACATCCTCCCTTTCCTCTAAACCCACCCCTCCTCTACATCATCCACCTCCTCTAAACCCACCCCTCCTCTACATCCTCCCCTTCCTCTAAACCCTCCCCTCTACAATCTCCCCTTCCTCAACATCCTCTCCTTCCTCTACACCCTCCCCATCTCTACAACCCCCTTCCTCTAACCCCCCTTCTCTACATCCTCCCCTTCCTCTAATCCCTCCCCTTCTCTCAACCCCCTTCCTCTAACCCCCCTTCTCAACATCCTCCCCTTCCTCTGCACCCTGCACTCCTCTACATCCTCCCCGTCCTCTAAACCAACCCCTCCTCTACATCCTTTCCTTCCTCTTAACCCTCCCCTCTACAATCTCCCATTCCTCTACCCCTCCCCTTCCTTTTCACACCGGTCCTCTACACCCTCCCGTTCCTCTANTCCTCTACACCCTCCCCTTCCTCTACACCCACACATTCCTCTACACTCTCCCCTTCCTCTACACCATCCCCTTCCTCTACACCCTCCGCTCCTCTTCATCCTTCCCTCTTCTACACCCTCATTTCTACCATACACTCAAATCTATGACACCCTCTTGTCATCCCTCCTGTCTACTTCAACTCCCCCTTTATTGCACCTTCCCCCTACTTCGCCCCATCCATGTTATGTAGAATTTCTGATTACGAGTAGCACACAATGCGTGAAACTTACATATCATTGATCATGTCAAAGTTCGGAAATATTGATCATCCCATAAGTTCGCGTGCTTATGAATGTATGTTAACACAATATCTTGAGAACATGAGGTTATCAGGTCCTGCTGTCACATCGCCCATGTTTTATATATAAAAAACCAACTTTATTTATTTTACAACAGTTATGAAACAAGTTTTTAAATTTATATTAATCACTAATGTTGGCCCGGATGTTAGCGCTCGGGAGTCTTAATGTGGGAGGAAACCGGAGTACCCGGAGGAAACCCATGTGCCCGGCAGGTGACCACATACCTTCTCTATTTTTCTATTTTTGTTTAATATCAACTCTGTAGTCTAGCTGTCAAATATTTCTCCTTCATTCATTTCCAAATTGATTTACTTGAAAACGATTTCGATAGCCTTAAACAATCATTCTCAAAACACAAGACAAGGAACATCGGATGAATAAACTACGGATATGTTTTACTACAGTAAATTGTAATTCGTTTAAATCATCGAAATATATCAACCTACTCACAATCTACACGTGTACAAATTATATATTGTATT